CCAGAGGTTCAGCTGAGCTGGGCCCTGCTGGGCCTCCACCACAGCTGAGACACTGCTGAGACACTGCAGAGGCTTTGGAACATCCCACGTATTTCCAGGGCTCCTTCCTTGCAGTGCCAATGGCAGCATGTCCAGCCGGAGCCTTTGGGGTGACTCAGCCAGGGAACAGGAGCTGTCACTGTCCCCCCCCAGCCCCCACAGAGCCCCTGTCCTGTGCTGGAAAGAGCTCCCAGCTCCGAGGGGGCTCACCAGGACCCCCAGCCAGGGGACACAGGGAAGGCACCCACACTCCCATGGCATCCAAACCCACAGGGACAGAGGACAATGCCTGGGGATCAGGAAACAGCAAAGCTTCTCCCTGTGGGAACATCATCCCTGCACATGGAGCATCCAGGGCTCCAAGGAGGGAATGGCAGCCAGTGCAGATACAGAAAGTGGGTCCATCRTGTCCCCATCTTGTCCCCACTCCATCCTGTCCCAGGGGTGCTGGAGAAGGAGCTCCAGTTCCTGTTTGTTCCCACAGACAAAGCAAGCAAAGCTGACCCTGCAGAGGGGGTGCTCCAAACCCTGCCCCCAGCGAGCCATGGAGTAAGCCAGGACCCCACATTCCCCTTCGTCAGCAGGGCCAGATCCCAAAGCAGCCTCATCCAGCACAAGGCATCCCTCCCTGGCCACACATTCCAGCGTGGGTGTCACAGGACACTCTGGAGCTGGGATCACCTCCTCAGGAACAGGCAGCGCTGTACAATCAGTGCCAAGCAGTCCCTCTCGTGTGGCCTGGATCTGCCCCAAGGCTGCTTAGGGTCCCTGCTGTGGTATTTAATGTCTTCACTAATGCCACAGGAAGGGATCGAGGGCACCTCAGCAGGTTTGCAGCTGCCAGGGCACCTCGAGTTTACAGCTGCTCCTGCCTGAATCTCCTCCGCCAGGCAAGAAGAGCTTCCTCCCCCAGCTCCAGGTGAGTGATGCCAACGGCCGCTCTTAAACGAGGATCGTGGAGAGTCAAGCGTCCCTAGGCTCTGAAGGAGCTGGAATTGCAGAGCTTCCCACACGGGAAACCCTCACAGGGAAAGCCGGGGAGCTCCGCAGTCCTGCAGCACCACTCCCTGGAGAGGAAGGGATGGGATGAGCTGCACAGCCAGGGAGGAGCCGCTCCAAAGGCTGAGCTCCCTGCGGAGTTCTGCAAGTTCCAGAAGCGTCCGGGGCCCCTTCTGCAGCTCCTGGATCCAGGAGACRAGAGCGAAACTTGGCTACCATTGCTCCAAACACTGCTCAGGGTCCATCCAGCCCATCTTATCCTGCCGGGAGCTTGGGCTGTGGACTCCTGCAGCCATAGAGGAGTCACCTTTTGCAAAGGGAAAAGGACCCAAATTCACACTCAGGGGCTGCTCAGGGATTGATCCCAACACAGCCAGACCCTGCCAGGGAAGACCTTCACGCTGACAGATACACTGGAGCTCTCCAGGACAAAAGGGTCCCTGAGGACATAAGCACAACTCCCACCCCCTCCTGCCCTCAGCAGAGCCAGCACAGCAAACAAACTCCTCGTGGATGCAGCTCCACCACAGGAGTTCCACCAAGAGCTGAGTCCTAGAGCCCCGAGCAGCTCTGTTCTGGAGGAGAGGTACTGGGACACACAACTGCACAGGGCAAACACAGGACAGGGACATTCCCAGCACATGGAGACCACGAACATGCAGAGGAAGAGGAGGCAGCAGTCTTCCACTCCTTAAAGCCTTGGTCACTGTGCTGGAGGGAGAAAAGCCTTCCCTAAGCAGAACCTAAGAAGGGAAAAGTGAAAAGGAAAGAAGGGCCAGTGAGTTCTTAAGTGCCATATCAGCACTCAGAAAACAGGCTGGAAAACCCTGCTGATTCATGTACAGACTCTCMGTCTTGCTCTCTAAGGCACCAAATATGAGATGGAGTCCAAACAAAAGAATGGGGGGGCGGGGGAGCGGCAAATACCCCAAGCAAGCTCCTGCACAGGAGGTTCATGTGAGGAGCTGCTTCCTGCCCCAGCAGGATTCACCCTCGCTCCTCAGGGGCTGAGAGGGGATTTTACTCTAATGGAACCTGTTCCTCAACTTGATCATCCCAGGCTGGCACAGCCACTCAGCTCAGCAGTGACACCAAACCCAACCCAGCCCAGGAACACGGGGAAACATCCCAGCGCGGGCAGAGGCATCACTGAGCACATCACAGCACACCCTGTCCCGCATGGGGCTGCAGCCCCCGGCACAGCTCATCCCTCCCCTCCTGCYTCGGGAGCATTTCTGTCCTCGATGCTCACCCACTACAGTCATTGGGCACTGCTGCTCCCTCATGTGATGGGAATTTTTTGGGGAGTGGCTCCGAGGGACTCCCAAGTGCCAGCAGAGGCTGCARCAGTGCCACACCCCAGAAGCACCCCTGGGACCTTGGTGACACGGTCAGGGTCCCTCCAGGACATCCTGTGGCTGTTACARATAGTTCCTGGAAGGAAGAGCAGCCCCCCAGTTACCAGAGCCACAGAATCTTAAAAAGATTTGGACTGGAAATTATCTTAAAGCCCAACCAGCTCCTACCTCCCCATGTCACAAAGACACACCTTCCACTAGAAGGTAGAAAAGGATGAAGGAAACATTCAAATTACAAACAAAATTAACTTTTATTTATTTTATGTATTATTATTATTAAAAAACGTTAAACTGAACTAAAAGTTGGAGCTGCTGAATTGGACCTAATTCACTGGGAAGGTATTTTGGTTGTTTTGACAGCAAATAAAACAGGTGGACAAAGAGCAGCTGAGATGCTGGCACTCAGGGAAAGAAAGCAAAACCTGGCAGTCAGTGAGGAAAGGCTCCTGTCCACCCTGTCCCATCCTTGGTAGTGCCCAGGCCATGCTGGGTRTGTTCCGAGCTGTGTCTACACCTCCCAATCCCTCCTCTGCGAGAGCAGGATGGCAGGACAGGTGCCAAGCATGGCAGATGGAGCCCCTGAGCAGCTGCCAGGACAGGATGTTCCTGTGCCCACCCCAACCCGTTGTCCCACCTCTTCCATGAATCTGGGCACCAGTGCCTGGGATGTGCTGCTGAAAGAGCAGCTGGTTCCAGCCAGGTCACAGTTCTGCTCAAAGAGGGGCTCCCCACATCCCATGGTGTGCAGAGCACACACCAGCTGCTCCTGCCCGGCYGAGGGTGGATCCTCTCCAGTGGGATGCACACCCGTTCCTGAGGGATGCACACGGATGCTCCCAGGCCCTCATCCCATCACCCCGGGGATGTGGGAGCGGCCCTGCTGTGACCCCGCTGCCTTGTCCCCAACTCCGGTTTACAAACTCCAGCATGGAAAATGAAGCTGCCGGCGTGGAGGACAGTGCCACCTGGGAAAGGCCTGACTGCTCTGGGTGAGGAATGAACCCACCCACGGGTGAGGAAAAGCCTGCTTTGTTCCCTCTGCACTGGCCAAAAACATCATCCCGTCCCCCCAGCAAAGGATGAATCTCCGCTGCCCCGCCAGGCTGGACCCAAYGCCCGGGACCAGGAGTATCCCCAACATTTACCCACAAACTGGATGTGCAGCACGTCCCGGACAATTATGCTGGAACCGAAGCCAAGGAGCTGCGCCGGAGCCCCGGCCCGAGGGATGTTGTCGCCCGCCCTGCCCCGGTGCAGCCGCCGCGGAACACTCCCCGCTGTTCTCCCCCGGCAGGAATCCCCGCTCCACGATGAAAGCAGGAGATCCTGAGGGTGCTCTGCCCGCTCCAGCTCCGCTCCGCTCCGGAGTTCGGACCGCTCCCCGAGCTGGGAGAGGTCCAGGAGAACGTTCCGAGGAGCGGCACCAGCCGTGGGGGGACTCGGGGCCGGTGCGGGATTGCTGAGGACGGTATCCCCGCCCAGGGGATCCCCGGTGTCCCGTGCCCGACCCCAGCCGTGCTGGACACTCCTGGCCGTGCTCGCCATTCCCGGCCGTGCTCGGCACTCCCGGCCCGGGACGCTCCCGTCCCCGGTGACCCCGCGCCCGCTCCCCGCGCGGTCACAGAGCTCCTCCCGCTGCCGCCCCACGCCCGAACCACCACGTTTGTCAGCCTCTCCTTCTCTACTGTTCTTTTCCCACCCCAGCAGCGCCCGCGCCGCGCCGCGCCGCACCCCACCCGTCCGCTCCCCCGCTCCCCCGCTGCCGCCGCTCTCCCTCACGGGGCCAGGGCAGCGCTCGCTGAGCGCCCGCGGACAGAGCCGGGGGGCGGATCCGCACGGGAAGGGCGCGGCCATTGGCTGGTTCGGGGAGAGCCCTGCGGATTGCCCAATCAGCGGCGAGCAGTGTCGTGATGGACGTGGGGGGGCGGGACGCACGGCGCAGGGGCGGGAGAGACCATGTGCTGGTGGAGGCGGGGGGAGCCCCCGCCCCGGGCCCGGCTGAGGCCATTGCGCTGCGCGCGAGGTGCCGGTCCCGAGCAATGGCTCCGTTCTTGGGTCTCGCCCGCAGCCTCCGAGCCACGGCCTGGAGCGCGTGGGGAAGGACCCAGGATCCCGTCCCAGGGCCACCGTTCAGGGCCCAGGGTAATCCCAGCTCGGCGTGGGCACGTTCAGCGATGGGGAGTCACAAACACCGGCCCTGCCACCCGGCAGGTGATTCCCGGCGGGGGATCCCCTTTGGCTGCGATCGAAGCTCACGGGGTAAAGCAGCAGCAGAGGATTTGCTTGCTGGAATTGGTGCTGACATTTCAGCAGGACTCGCAGGAATTACGTGCTCCCGCTGTGCCGGGGCTTCCCGAGGTCCCTTCACTCCAATTCTGATTACCATCAATCTTGGCCCTTGTGKGTATCAGTCAAGCAGCAAATCCGCCCTGCAAGTGAGACCCCCCCTTGCCTCCAGCGCAGSAGGAGGAGGAGGAGCTGCTGGAGCAATTCCACGAGGAATGACCGTGTGCAGCCATCGGATGTGAAACTGCAGTAGCCGGGGATTCAGGAACTCCTGAATGTCTCCAGAATAAACACAGACTCGGGGTAGATTTTACTGAATTGTGGTTTAATTTAATAATCTACTGCTGGTACATCTGTACAACATCGTACAAAATGTAATCCAAAGAAGCATTCCATCCCCACAGCCGTGTTTGGCTCTGCTCTCTCCTGTCACACAGTACCCTCGGGGCTCTGGCTATGACATCTTCCTACAGCCACCAGAACGTTTTGCTGTCCAGGCCCAGTGCTGGGATCCCCTGGCCATGGCACGAGGGCCCTGGGGGTTCCTCGTGTTTCTAGTCAGACAGGAAGGATTTTTCACCTGTTTCTGCACAAGGCAAATGGCTCCCAGCAGTGCCATGACCAGGGGATGCACAGGTGACACAGGGGTGGTTCAGGACTGGCACTGCCTTTGTGCAGCACATGCTGTGGCCTTTGAGAGTTTCTCTGCTCACACAACAAAACCGGTTGTAGACTTTCAGTCCTTCCCACCAATGCATTTTCACTGGGAATTACACCTACCCCAGTGAAGGCTGGTCTGAGAATTGATCTCGTGCCCAGATAAAAAAAGCAGGCAGATGCTCTTTTTAACTTAGATGTTAGGGAAGATAATTGACTTAGCTGCTACTGGCAGTRGAACACATGCAGAACTGCTCCTGCCAGATTTGGGAAACCTGTTGAGAATCACATGGAATCCAAAGTGATTGTTTTGGCTTAAAAAAGTACATTTGAAAGGATCAGAGATCCCCTGGTGTCCAGAAATATCCTTGTTGCAGGTGAGTGGTGTGGCAAGATGGTCTCTCTCACCTGTGTTCTCCATGGAAAGTTTCATTTTGGCCAATTATTTTTTCTCTCACATTCTGTATTCCTGAAGCTTCTAAGCTGTTTTTTAAAGTTCTCATGGAAAGTCTGATCACTAAAAAAAAACAAACCCAATTCTCTGAAAGCTTTTTCCCCCCAGTTTTGATGTCGATGCAGCATCATGTTCAAAGTGCAATTACTGGATCTGAAAAATAACCCCCTYAGACTGTAATGAACATCTGACAATAAATGCACAGCCTTCATATGGACCAGTCCTCACCAAAACCTTCTCATCATCAGAGCCATGCAGGGATGTTCTCAGCAGGGCCACGCTACAGGGAGGAGTCTGAAAGTGAGAGCAAGAGAGAAGCAGCTAAGGGTTGAAGTGAGGGAGATGARATATAGTCTGAAAAGCTCCATGGGAGGCGGAGCTGAAATGTTACAGGGCCTAAAAGTCTGCAACAGGGTAACAGGTTTAACTGGCCTACTCCTGTAGTCCCAGTGTGGTATTTTGCATTAGAAGGAAAAGATTTGACTCCAAGTAAAGGGTATTTCACTGGATCCAGTCACCAGCAATATTTATCCATAAGTGTATCCATGAATCTGTCCCCAGCCAACCCCATTGCCTTTCCATCCACATCAGGATCCCAGCACCTCTGACCATGCCCTCTTCTTCCCTTTGTGTTGGCTTTGGCCACCAAACATCAGCTGTTCTCTTACTGCTCCCCTCACCTGGCACATTTGCCAGGGTCTTTATTCTGCACTGGAGAGAAATCTAAACTTGATATCATCCTACCTAATGATGATGGGATTGTTCTTTCTAAAAAATTTGCTCAAGGCCATCCAAAACCTCTGGCTCATGTAGAAATCAAGTATTGTTTTCCATCTGCCTTTTCATTTCTGGTTCTGTTTGGTACTTGATCACAAATACCGTAATTAGGAATTCAGCAAAGCAGCCCAAATGTGCCATTGCTTTGTCAGCAGGTAGAGCTCGCTGGGTACAATTTTTGAGGCACTGGGCAGTAGTGATACCACGTGGGTCTCGCAGGGAAGCAGCTGTGCCAAGTTACCTTTGATGGCGAGGAAGGCTTTGCTGAAGGCACGACCCACTTCATTGCTGGCTTCCAGCATGTACTCCCCCTCATCCTGCTTGGTGACCCCCAGCACCACCAGGGAGCACACTCCGAAGTCATTCGTACAGAAGTAGTTGGGATCTCTGGAGAGGTCTCTGCTGTCCTTGTACCATGTAATTTTTGGYGGGGGGTGGCCTCCAACGGCGCAGCTCATGCGACACTCGCTGCCCGTCACCACCACGTGTGACTTCAGGGGCACCAGAAACCTCGGGGGCTGGTTCTGGTTAACTCCCCTGTATTTCTGTGCTTTCACTCGAAATTCAGCTGTGGGAAATAAACAGCACCAAACACATGTTCAGATACTGCTCCCAGCACCACAGGATTTGCAGGGGTTTGGTTGTGAGGTATCTGCAACTGCCAGAGGTCCCACACACCTATGGATTGTAATCTCTGCTGCTCCTCAGATTACCCAAAATTTAACTTTGAAGTCAGAAACTTTGGTTTCTACAAGACTTAAGCCTTAGATTTTGCTGGGAATTAATCTTGGGGCAAATTACATGCTATAATGGCTGGGAAGTAAGGGTCTGCCTGCACAACGTCCCTGCAGAAAAGACAAACCTTCTCTGCCCAAGTGGAATTCTTCAGGACATCTCTGTGCATTCCTGTTCTGGGCAACTGAATATTCCCAGGAGGAGAGGCCAGTTTGAGGATGGGATATTGAAAGAATAAAAGAAACAAAACACAACACAGAGAAATACTTGTAAATGTTTTACCCTTTGTTTTCCGAATGCTCCAGGGCTGCACAGTCTCTGATGGATCACTGGCTCCCAGTTCGTTTTTCGCCACCACCCTGAAGTAATAATCCCTGCCTGGAACCACCCTGGTGAAGGTGAACTTGTTGTTGTAGATCAGGTCCCCCAGCACGTGCCATGGGCCCTTCTGGGATTCCCGTTTCAGGACGGTGTAATACAGGTTCTTYTCCCAGTTCTCGGATGCTGTGGGGTCCCAGGTCACTGTCACTGTGCCAGGCACATTCTCCTCCAGCCGGATGGCTCCAGGGGGCTGTGGAATATCTGCCAGGGGAGGGCACACAATGGCACAGCCATAGGGACAGTGGCACAGAACCCTAAAAACCTGGAGTCTGTTGCATGTCTGGGGCTCAATGAACATCCTGGTCACTGGAAGGACAAAATGCTGTTCCTTCTCCATGCTAACAAAAGCATTTGCTATGAACTGAGCTGCTGCTGCACAACATCTGCATTGCTCAGYAGGGACAGGAGGGTGGTACGGCTGAGCTGCTTCCCCTCCTGGGGACACAGCTGGGAGAGCTGTGCTTGGTGGTCAGCTGTGTCACACAGCCTGTGATGACCCTCCTCAGTCACTCTGCAAGGACAGTTTTAATCAGTGGATTGCTCTGTCCTGCAGGCAAATGAGATCAAAAAGCACCCAGACTGAATCTCACAGAAAATTGTACCCTGGTTCTCCCTGTGCCTGCATGGCCAAAACTGCACCAGAGCTCACCTTGCCAAACTCAGTCTGATGCCTTCTGCCTATTCACAGTAAATCGTAATCCCAGACTGGATTGGATTGAGAAGGGACTTTAAAACCATCCAGTTCTACCCCCTGCCATGGGCAGGGACAACTTCCACTATCCCAGGGTGCTCCAAGCTCCATCCAACATGGCCTTAGACACTTCCAGAGATGGGACAGCCACAGCTTCTCTAGGCACCCTGTGCCAGGGCCTCCGCACGCTCATAGGGAGAAATTCCTTCCCAATATCCCATCTAAGCCTGCCCTCTGGCAGTGGGAAGTCATTCCCCTTTGTCCTGTCCCTTCATCCTTTGTCCCCAGTCCCTCTCCAGCTCTCTTGAAGCCCCTTTAGACACTGGAAGGGGCTCTAAGGTTCTCCCTGGAACCTTCTTTTCACCAGGTGAACACCCCCAGCTRTCCCAGCCTGGCTCCAGAGGTAGAGGGTCTGCAGCCCTCAGAGCATCTCCGTGGCCTCCCCTGGACTTGCTCCAGCAGCTCCATGTTCTTCTTCTGTTGGGCCCCCAGGGCTGGAGGCAGCTCTGCAGATGGAGTCTCACCTGAGTGGGGCAGAGGGGCAGAATSCCCCCTGCCCTGCTGCCCAMGCTGGGGGATCAGCCCAGGGTATGTCCACCTCTCACCCACCAGCACCCCCAAGTCCTCCCAGGGCTGCTCTCAGTCCCTTCATGCCCCTGCCTGGATTGACTGGGAGTTGCTGGAACATTTGCACAGGTGGCAGTGAGTTACCTGTAATTTGAACTTGGAAGCTGAAGGTTTCCCTTTTCCCCAGCCCATTCTCGAGCTCCACTGTGTAGGTGCCGCTGTCACTGAACTCAGCTGCCCTGAGCAGCAGCTGGGTGGTTCCATCCTCGGTGCTCACAGCAGCATGGCTGGGAAGGGGGAGCCCATCCTTTAACCAGGTCACCACTGGCTCTGGAGAACCCTGGAAACAACGAGTCACAACCCACTAGTGTCACCTCCAGATTGGGCCTCATATCATTAGTTTCATTATTTTACCCCAAATATGCACCTCCATGACACAATTATGTTTAGAAATACAGATCCATGATGGATCTGAGAGCCCTGATCTGCTCTACAGTTTCTTTATAACTACTTTCTTTCTTCATTTCCTTTAAGGATTTTATTGCAGTAAAGTGTTCAGAACTGGATCAACCAAGCTATGCCATATTGAGAACACATGACATCAGGAGTTAATATTTTCTGKTTTTTTTTTTTTTAAAGATCTGTTGGTTTGGGAAAGAAGAAAACATCCTCCAAGTCTTGATTTCAATTGTGCCATCTTTGGTCTCTGTTCTCCCAGGGATTAGGAGAAAGGCCAACAAATATACACACTTTATCTGCATCACCCTCCTCTGGTAACCCAGACTTCATAGAATCATGGAATTGTTAAGGTTGGAAAAGCCCTCCAAGGCCATCAAGTCTAACCTGTGCCCAATGCCCACCTTGAAAGCACTGAGTACCACATCCAGGCACTCCCTGGACACCTCCAAACCTCCCTGGGCATCCCCTTCCAAAGCCTAATGACCCTTTCCAGGAAAAAAAGCCTGTGTTGTTCCACGCTTATTCCAAAGCACCTGGGGTTCTTGGCAGGTCAGCACCTGCCAAGTTCTCAAGTGTTGCTCCTTGAATAGACAAGCACAGTCAAGGTGTTGCTGGAAACTGAGGGGGTCACAAGGATGTCACTGATTTGAAAATCTGGCAGAGCAGTACCAGATGATGATAACATTGATAAGACTGGGTGGACAGCACTGAGCCTTGTTAAGGAATTCCTCATTAAAGAATGCCCACAATCTCATAAAACTCCAATTCCAAGACTGAAGCTCACTTCTGGCTCATGTTTTCCTCATCCTGAGAGTTTACACAGCACAGGCAGGCCAAAGGATTTGCCCAGTGACTTGCAGGCAAACTCCCATGGCATAAAAATTGTGGCTCAGTTTTCCTGTTTGCTATTGAGTGCAGCATAAAACCAGGTAGGGGATTCCTCCAAAGCCCTGAATACCCACCTCAAAGGGAATCTTCACCCGGATGGGATTCCCTGCTTTTATAACCAGGAAGCTTTTCACTGTGTCATCTATCAGTAACCTGGGAGAGACTGGAAAAGACAAGAATTACTCCATAAAGGTGGATGTTGGTGCAGTCACTGGTGACAATCACACACATTCCATCCCCTGGGGCCTTTCCCAGCTGGGTGAGGCTGGTGAGGAATTCACAGAGGGAAATATCTCCCCGATTCAGTCCCAGAATTCACACCTTTCAAATTTCATTACTATTTATTTATCACTATGACTAAAGAAGGGGAAGTAATGTAAAAATACATTCACAACAATCTCTGTATTCAAGTGATGTCTCAGTCACAGAGAAATTGGCTCTTTGCCACACTTTATCCCATCATAAGGATCATCTTTTGTGTTTAAATGGTGTCTGGAGAAAGGAAATTTCAATGGACACTTATAAAATATGCATGCAATACAGAGCATGGAACATCCACAGGAAATCTGCAGGAGTTTATCTAAAATAATATTTTTTAGCATATGAAGTATTTTCTTTTCATCAGTATACTATAGCATTTAGTATTTCCCTAAGAATACCAAATATAGTAGTGCTAAATTGTATTTAGTGATTCCAGTATAGAAATGAAAACCTGCTTTCAAGATGGATTTGTTTTATCTATTTATTGATAAATGGGGTCTCCAGGCATAGGTCAAAGTAGACATTTTCACTTAGGACCTAAGTTAAGGAATATGAATCCCTCACAGAATTATCTGTTACTTTTGTAATTCTACAATGTTCCCAAAGAGCAGGGAACAAATGGAACTGCAGATTGTAAATAAAGATGGAAAAGTGAAAATGGTGAAAACTTTCAAACTAAAGTATTAAAAAGTAAAATAAAGTATCAAAAAAAAMCAACATAAAAATTGTGATTTAAGAGAATGAAATAAAATGTTTAGTTCCTAAAGACTGTATAAAAATTTACTGAAAACTCTATTTTTCCCTTGCAAGAGTGCGGGCAGGGGTAAGGTACATGGAGAGTCTGTCTGGTGACTGTGGTGTGGCTCTGCACAGTGGGTAAAATGTAAGTCCAAGGAGAAAATGGAGTTCTGGGGTTTTTTTTGATACTGTGGATTGCACATCTAATATCAGTTAATATTGAGATTGTCTTGCTGAGGTGAGCAGATAACCAACCCCAAGGCAAGTAGAAGCAGTGCTGTCACAGTGCTTAACCTGGGCCTGGGAGCAGCTCATCCCAGTGTCCTACAGCCTCAGCTGCTCCTGCCCCGTGGGAGTGTCCCATCCTCGGGACAGAACCCTAGAGCCCCTGACTCACCTGCAGGAGCAGCAGCTCCAGCACAAGCCTCCAGCTCTGCTGCCTCCCCGGGGCCGCCGTCACTGAGGGCCCTCACACGCAGGAACAGCTTCTCCCTGGCCTGGAGGCCCTGGACCCTGCATGAGGTGCTTTCTGCAGGAAGGGTGAAGCATTTGGTCCAGCTGAGGCTGTTACAAGGCCTCATCTCCACCTCATAGCCTTTCACATAATTCCCATCTTGTACTTCAGGTCTGTTCCATGTCAAGGTGACACTGGTGCTGTCASTGCTGCTCACTTTCAGGTCCTGCACTTGGCCTGGAGATTCTGGAGGGAGAAATTTTATTTAAATTATTTTTCTAGGATTTCTGTGCCCCCTTTTCAGTCATTGCTTGAGATTCCCCAACATTCTTGCAGTGCACTGGATTTCCTCCCTGCTGTCTTGCCACACCATGTCCCAGTTCTTCAGAGCTGGATCCAGGTCCCTGCTCCTGTCAGCCCTCCAGTAAATTCACAACATTCCAACACACTCTGCAGCCCATCCTGTGTGTTTCTCCACACTGCACATTACTCCACACAGGGATCTGTCACATCTTGACTTGGACATCCCACAGAAACTCCTTCCCTTCCTTCCTTGAGCTGATTGCCAGCCATGAAACGTACCCCAGTCACTGATCCTTGTCTCCACACACTATTACAGGGGATTTAGGAATATCTCCCCACAAGCACTCCCAAGCAGAGCATAGGGCAGGGCACTTACTGATGGGGTCCTGGGCAAAGGTGGGCTCTGAGGGGTCACTGGGCTGTCCTGTGCCAGCAGCATTGACAGCTGCCACCCGAAACTCATACTGCACACCCTTCTTGAGGCTGGTCACCTTCAGCTTCTTGTCTGCAGAGAGGAGAGGAGCATGTTGGCTCAGAGGAGAGCTGTTCCCCAGGATGAAAGATGACAGAGCAATGCTGTGCCTAATTCCAGGTATAATTGTGGACTGAAAAATTCTCAGGAGCCATAAATGCCCTCACTGACTCCCCTGCCATTCCCTATCCAAGTGCATGTGAACTTCTGGGATGTGTTCATTGTATTTCCTTCAAAATCAATTAACACATGAATCACAGAACTCCAGAATCATTTAGTTGGAAAAGACCTCCAAGGTCATCTAGTCCAACCTGTGACCCATCACCACCCTGATGTGAAAAGTGTAAGATCCTAAGCAGCTCCTGAGCCCAGCTGACATTTTTGCCTTTTCAAACCCACCAGGTGGTGCCAGGATTCAGGATACCCACCTTTGACAGGCACGTTGGTGACTGGCATCCAGGTCACAGTGCCCTTCTTGCGTTTCTGAACCATGTATCCCTTAATTTGGGAAGTGCCAGTTTTACGAGGAGCCTTCCAGGATATGGTGATGGTGTCCCTGCTGGTACTGATGATCTCAGGGGGATCTGGGGCACCAGGGGAAGCTGGAAAGAGATGAGGGCTTCATTATTAGCAGGTATGTTTTTACTGCAAGATAAAATAGAGGCATGTGTAATTTCTTCTCCCCAGATTTCCCAAGGTATTCCTATGGATGTGCTCTGAAAATCTGGCTGAGACCTGAAGTTGTGGATCCTGTTCCCCACACAAACTGGATCATCAGTCAACAGGGTGGACTCTGTTCCTGAGTTTGGATTTCACAAAAGACCTGCTGTCATCAGAACTGACAATTCCTTTGTCAGTGGGGTGCGCCGTTCCTATGAGATGAACTGTGATCATCATTCATATTTTCAATAACAGAAACTGATAACAAAATGGATTTTCTTTGCCCTCTGCTAAAGTGTTCAAGATACAAAATTATGGGAATGAGAATGGAGAAAGAAGAGAATTAGAAGTGAACATTGCATTTGTGCTCATGGCAAACCTGTTCTAGAATTTAAACTCTTTGAAGGACAAAGACAATATTCAGTTGTTTGGAGATCAGGGGAATGGAGTGGTCATGTTGAGAAGTGCTGCACATACAGAGACACTCCTTTGTGGAGTTAAGAAAAGGCCTCACATGTTCCATTTGCAGCCACCCCAGGAAAAAAACTTCCTTTGATTTTGATGCATTTTGCATTCTCCCTATGAAACTTCCTTTCCAATCCAGAATGGAGCATGAACAAGGAATAACTCCATCTCACTCAGCATCACCAGAGCCTACAGCAAGCTGCTGCTCTTGCTGGGCACCCTCCACAGCTTTGTGTGAAGACTGAAGTTGAGATCTGCAGCAACATCCACAATGCATTGAGTTACCATTGATGACAGCTTTGATGAAGAATTTCCCAATTTGAATTATGAATTATGAGAAGTTCTCCTCACCTTTACCAGCTGCCTTGACTTCCCCTGACTCCAGTGCGTCACTCGCTCCCTCAGCATTCACGGCCCTCACCCTGAAGTAGTAGCTCATCTCTTCCTCTACTTTGCTCATGGTGAARCTGGTGCAGCTCCTGGGGGTTTCTCCCAAAGTCTCCCAGTCGTTCCTGCCCATCTGCTGCCTCTCCACGAGGTACCTTTGCACTGGTTTGCCCCCATCATCCTTTGGTGGCTTCCACTGGATTGTGATGTTGTTGGCAGAGCTTTCTACAATTTTGATGGGTCCTGCTGGGGGCTGTGGCTTGTCTGGGAAGATGAACAGAGACACAAGTTGGCTCCAGACCCAGACCTGCTTCTGGGTTTGGAGCTCTGTCCCTTGCTCACCAGCTAGGAGACTTTTCCTGCTGAAATAAAAGTGCAGCTGCAGGATGAGGGCTGAGCACATGAATTGGCTCTTCCAAACTTCCACTCTTCTAACTTTTGATGGGGAAGATGGAAAGCCAGGCACTCACTTTTCCTGCACCAACTGTTCTCCTATGCACAATACCAGTTCAGCTTGTTAATACACGCACAACATCATTTCCAGTCTCCCTAAAGAGCCAGRCATTTATGGGAGGGCTGAATTGGACCCTGATATCCTATCTCAGATCTGCACACTGGGAAAAGTTCCATCTCCCACAGTGCCTGAACATTCAAAATTCRGCTGCTGAGGCCATGAGAAACCAAAGTAGGTTTGTGTCCCCTTGTACTAAAGGGCAAGAAGCATGTCATCAATCTTTCCTTGTACCCTGATTTTGGGGCAAAATACAGAGTCTTATTTCTCTTGGAATACCCAGTCACTCCAAATAAGGTTGTCACCAGTGTCAATGGATTCTCTGCCTAAACCTGACAGTGAAGGCCACAATGGATGTTACAGGATCTCACCTATCACCATGAGCTTTAGGTTGATCTCCAGGACGCCGCTGTCATTCTTGAGCCTGACTTTGTAATCCCCACAGTCCTTCCTGTTGCAGCTGGAGATGGACAGTGTGGTGCAGGTGTCTGTCTTGTCCACACGGATCCTGGAGTCATCCCCCAACTCCATCCTGTCCTTCAGCCACGCAGCCCTGATGGGCCCCCGGCCCTCAAATGGGATCCGTAGCTTCACCCCCTCCCCGGCCTTGGCCACCGTGGGGACACTCGTCAAGTTCTTGAGGAGGACTTTGTCCACTTGAGGAGGATCTAAACAGGTGATACAAGGTCATTGAAAACCACAACTCCAGGAGGATAAGACTCACCTCAGAGGGAAGGGATCCCCTCATGATGCTGCGAACAAGGCTTAGAAGCTCCTAACACTTGGACCTTCACCTTTAGTTGTACTTTGCTACAAGATAATTATCACCAGGTTTTGTGGTATCACACTTTCCTTTCACTGGAGAAAATTTCTGCTAGGCAACACACTAAACACAAGAATGAAAAATCTGCTCTGATAAAGTGTTCTGTACACTCCAAAATCTTTGAGTTGCTTGGAAAGCTATTGGGGAAGGCTCCCTAGTCAAACTTGCAAATGCAAAATGCACCAACCTGTACAAAAAACTTTTCCCATTTATCTTTTAATTCTTTACTATAAAGTAATCTCAATAACCAATGACAGGTCTCTGAGTAAATATATTACATTTAAAGCCCATCAAGGCTCCCATGCTTCATCAGTGGTTTGAATACTCACCTTCAACAAAAATTGAAGCTTCAGTTTTCACATCTCCACCTTCAAACCTGTATTTCCCAGCATGAATATCTTCAACTTTGTTAATGATTAGCTTGTGGACAAGACCTTTCTTTTCAAAGACAACTCCATCCATGCTTGTTAACTACAAAGTAAAAGACAGAGGACCCATTCTTTTTCAAAAAAGGGAAAAATCAAATCTGAAACTGGATACCAAACATTTTGAAATGCAATTGAAAAGACTTATGAGTGTCATGCATTTTTAATGACAGTAGTCTGTTGTCCAAAGAGACTGTGGCTGCCCCATCCCTGGAAGTGTCCAAGACCAGGTTGGATGGGGCTTGGGTCTTGTAAGGTGTCCCTGCCCAGGGCAGGGGGTGGGACTGGATGATCTTTAAGGTCCCTTCCAACCCAAACTACTCTGGGATTCTTGGATTCTCTGCACCATTCCATGGCCTCACTCGGACTGCAGGTGACTGGGAGGACACCTTGACACCACCCTTAGGAAGCAGACCCAGAGAGCAGAACATTGCTACCCAAAGACAACAGCCAGCTCAAGGAACCTACCTTTAGGCCATCCTTAAACCAGGTTCCTGTCACGTTGTCCTTGCTGACAGTGCAGGACAGCTCAGCTGGGTCCCCCTTCAGCACTCGCACCGTCGCCAGCTGCTTGTTGAGGTAACAGCGTGGCACTGAATAGGCAAAGAAAGGAAAGAAGCCAAGTCTGTGTTACAGAGGGACATCTAGAGCTGGAAATGCATGTGCACGTGAGCGGAAAGGAGCTTTTTAAAAAGTATGTCTTGTGGTCATGAGAGGTTTTTGTGCCACCTCACKGTGGGCCAGCTGGGTACACTCAGTGCCCTGAGGGACACGCAGCCATCCCAACATCATCTCCATCCCAACATTCATCTCCTGGGCAATGGATTCATCACAAATCACATTATCCAGTCGCAGATTGCCTGGTTTATGTCTATGCTAATTGTCGTGGCTCCCTCTACAGCCAGTGGGAAAACCCCAGGCTGCTCTTCTGCACTGGCCACACACAAAGCTGCCCAACAAGTCCCACTAAACAAGCCCCAGGCACACTGTTCTCCCACCCCTGTATTCGTCTTTCCCTTCCCAAGTTCTTCTCCATTAACATTCTCATCCCTCTCTAATAAACACCACTCTTCTGCCCCTTGAACTCCAATTTTGATTATTTTACTTCCATATCTATATTTATTTTTATGGTTTAGAAATTATAATTCCTAATTTGTGAGCAATCCCATTAGGAGAATATTCCCCTCTGATTACACATCTGAAATTTCTCATTCCTACAATTTTCACACTATCATCTTGCTGGTGGAATCACAGCTCTTACTCAAATGGCTGCAAACACATTACGCCCCTCTTCCTCTATGCAACACATTATTTCTGATGTTACAAGAGGAAAGAGCTCTTTACATTGTATAACCCCATATAAGCAGACACAGAATTGTTCCCAGAATTTGGAAAAACACAGCTCTTTGCAGTAGGTGTTAGAAAAATTAAGTGAACCCCTCAGTTTTGAATTGGAGCAGTATCAAAGAAGCATGTTGATTTTCATTTAAACTTCATGGTGTCCTGGTTTTACTCAGTCCAGTTTTTTTGGTGGTGGGGAATGGGACCAAGAAACCACAAAGATGGCTCCTGTGACAAAGTTCTAGAAGCTTTCTCCTTCTTCTCCAGCCCTATCCCCTGTGTTTTAGAACCAATCCATTGTGACTCTGAGATTGATGGACGGGCTGCTGGTCAGGCCTGGGCCAATTGCAGAGGCTAGTTACACCTCGGTGATGATGTATGGTCTTGTACTTAGAAGAATTCAAAACAAGATAGAGCGCAGCCGCCATTAGTTTTTAGGTTGTTAGTATCATCCCCTGCATCGGGGGAGAACCGAGGAGGAGGGTGAGAAGATGTAAGAAAAAAAATAGAGACCCAAGATCACAGTAAGAAGAAGACAGGTGCTGTTGCTGTGGTGCTCGAACATGGAGAAAACAAGTGGTCCTCGAAATGACTATTTTCTTCAATGGGAGACTTGTATAGAAAAGAGAGGCCCTGCACCTGAGATAAAAAAAAAAAACCAACCTGGCCTTGGAGGACTGGACTGATCATAAGCCAGAAAGGGGGAAGAGGTGCGCCCCCACCAGCCCGTCTGAAGCGAATTGATGCTTAGAAGAAACTGTGTTCTGCCAGGAGATTTGAGAGAGTGGCCTTGCCCTCAGAATGCAGCATGCTGGCCTTGGAGGACTGCTTCCCTTTCTCCCATGAGGTAAAGAAAATAATCCCATGTCACCAGCAGTTATACACTGGCTGTTTCTTGGGAAAAGAACTTCCACAGCTTGGAGCTGTAAGAACTCTTCTCTTATGGTGCTGGACAATAACTGTAATGAGTAGTTTGATCTATGTTAAACTTTCATCCCTGCCCCWCTTGTGCATGGGAAGGCATGGAGGCGTGGGGAGGGGTGACCTGGAAAAGACAGGTTCCCAGAAAGAATAACAGATGTCTTTAAATGTCCATTTTTTTCTTCTCCTTGTAAATTTTTCCCTATCTCTGTTCCCCTCCCCGGTGTGATAGTTTTTTAGTAGTCCTTAGTAATAAATCTATTTTGCAACTTAGGTTTTTTGATCCTGTCTATTTCTGGAGCATATACTCAATCTTTCTCTCAATTATGTTTTCTTATCTAAAAGCCATAAATTTTAGTGTTAATTTGGCTTCTGCTCTCCCCTCTGCAGTGGTGGGGGGGGGGGGGGGAAGAGTGGGGAACATCACGGGTGCTTTGGCTTTTGGCCAAATTCAAACCACAACACATGGGAACTGGTATGTTCGAACTGTTCTGTATCACAAGGATGTGAAACACAAATGAACAGATGAGAGCTGGTATAGGTAATTTAAACAAACAAAATCATTTAGGCCTTTAAGGCAGTTTGATCAGAGCAAATTGTGTAAAATCAAACAGCCAATCAGTGGGAGAATTTGGAAACAGATCATGGGACAAACAAATTTCTACATAGAGCTTTTATCTAAACCATAACATCGACATAGAGTATTTATCTAAACCATAACATCCCATTTCTTTGCAGGATTAAGATTATGAGTATCAAAATGCAAAGACCACGAGTCACCAGTTAACCACGTACCTTTGAGATCATCCAGGCAACTCCGTCTCTTTGGAGCCGTGCTTTCCTTGTTGTTCAGGGAATCATTTGCTTTAAGATCAAGTTCAGGTTCCTGGTTTCTCTGGTTTGCTGGAGGAGGCCCTCCAAAAGGACCTGACATCTGGCCATAACTCAGTGGACCTTGACCAAACCCACCTGAACTACTGTCAACAGATCTGTCATGGGATTTACTCCCTGCCCCTCCAAAGGCAGAATCTGTGCCATACAGGGAGCCAAGTGGCCCGAAATCTCTGCCCTCTCCYCTGGCTCCTCCTGAACCTGACATCGACCCTCTGTCACCAGCTGAATCTTTGTCCCCTGGCCCTCTAACATCACTGGCAGTGCCCTTTCCAGTTTGACCTCCTAAAGATCTGCCATGGTGTGCCTCCAGCCCATATTCACCACCTGGTCCACCAGCACCTGCCACACCTCCTTTACCATGGACTGAATCCCATTCATCCCCTCCCAAACCCCCAACCCCACCTGCACCAGCCCTGGCTCCAGCTGACCCTCTGTCCCTGCCACAGGGAGACCCTCCACCCCACAGTGCAGAGCCTTCCCCAGAAAAGCCCTCTCCTCCTGCTCCATCTGCATAGCCTCCTGCTCTGCTCAGCATGGCATCCCTGCCAGGGCCAGATCTCAATGCTTCCTCACCTCCAAGAGGAAAATGAGCAGCTCCTGCCACACCCCCAGCCAGGAGACCATCCTTGCCATAGAGAGCTCCAACTCCCCCAGCCCCACCAACACCAGCTCCAGCTGGGAGACCATCCTTCCCATAGGTACCCCCAACTCCTCCAGCCCCACCAACACCAGCTGGAAGACCATCCTTTCCATATGGACCCCCAACTCCCCCTGCACCACCAACACCTGCTCCAGCTGAGAGACCATCCTTTCCACAGGGAGTCTCGATTGCCCCTGAACCAGCTCCACCAACACCAGCCCCAACTGGGAGACCATCCTTTCCATATGGACCCCCAACTCCCCCTGCACCACCAACACCTGCTCCAACTGGGAGACCATCCTTTCCATATGGACCCCCAACTCCCCCAGCCCCAACTGGGAGACCATCCTTCCCATATGGACCCCCAACTCCCCCAGCCCCAACTGGGAGACCATCCTTTCCATATGGACCCCCAACTCCCCCAGCCCCACCAACACCAGCCCCACCTGGGAGGCCATCCTTTCCATAGGGACCCCCAACACCCCCAGCCCCACCAACACCAGCCCCAACTGGGAGGCCGTCCTTTCCATATGGAGCTCCAATTCCCCCTGCACCAGCCCCACCAGCACCACCACCACCTGTTCCCAGTGGCCGACCATCTGGACCATACAAAGTCTCTCCAAATCCTCCTGCACCAGCACTACCAGCCCCAACTGGGAGACCATCCTTTCCGTAAGGAGATCCAACTCCCCCTGCACCAGTTGCACCAGCCCCACCAGCACCTGCTCCAACTGAGAGACCATCCTTTCCACAGGGAACTCCAAATCCCCCCACACCAGCCCCACCAGCACCTGCTCCAGCTGGGAAACCATTCATTCCATAAGGAGATCCAGCATCTCCAAAACCACCACCTGCAGCTCCACCAGCTCCTGAGCCAGCAGGGAGGCCATCTTTTCCACATGGATACCCAAGTGCTCCTGCWCCAGCACTACCAACTCCAGCCCCACCAGCAAGACCATCCTTTCCATAGGGAGCTCCAATTCTCCCTGCACTTGCAGCACCAACACCACCAACACCTGCTCCCAGTGGCCGACCATCTGGACCATACAAACCCTCTCCAAATCCCCCTGCACCACCAACACCAGCCCCATCTGGGAGACCATCCTTTCCATAAGGACCCCCAACTCCTCCTGCACCACCAACACCAGCCCCAGCTGGAAGACCATCCTTTCCATAGGGAGCTCCAACTCCCCCTGCACCACCAGCCCCACTAACACCAGTCCCAACTGGAAGACCATCTTTTCCATAGGGAGATCCAAATCCCCCTGCACCAGCACCAGCCCCACCAACACCAGCCCCAACTGGGAGGCCATCCTTTCCATAAGGAGCTCCAAATCCCCCTGCACCAGTGCCACCAGCACCACCAACATCTGCTCCCAGTGGGCGACCATCTGGACCATACAAAGCCTCTCCAAATCCTCCTGCACCAGCACTACTAGCCCCAACTGGGAGACCATCCTTTCCATAAGGATACCCAATTCCCCCTGCACCAGCTGCCCCAGCCCCAGCAGCACCACCAACACCAGCTCCAGCTGGGAGACCATCCTTCCCATAGGGACCCCCAACCTCCCCTGCATCACCAACACCAGCTCCAACTGGGAGACCATCCTTTCCATAGGGACCCCCGACTGCCCCTGAACCAGCCCCACCAACACCTGCTCCAACTGGGAGACCATCCTTTCCATAGGGAGATCCAAGTCCCCCTGCACCAGAACCACTGGCCCCAGCTGGGAGACCATCCTTTGCATAGGAAGCTTCAAATACCCTTACACCAACCCCACCAGCACCACCAACACCTCCTCCCAGTGGCTGACCATCTGGACCATATAAAGCCTTCATTTCTCCTGTGGAATTGCCACCTGCACCAGGTATAGCCCCATCTCCAGCTGGGAGGCCTCCTGGCCCATACAGTGAGCCAGACCTTCCTGCCTGTCCTAACTGAACATTAGCGTGAGGTGTCAGGCCATCCTTGCCATAGGGAGTTCCTGTTAGTCCCTCTCTGTTGATACCTGCTCCGTTCATATCACCCACAGTGGGATGCCCATCCTTGCCATGGTGGGACCTCATTCCTCCTGCCATTCCAGCACCTGCAGCATTCCCCCCTGCTCCAGTTCCTGGACCAGTCCAGCTGAACAGATCACCTACACTGGCCCCCACTCCAGCTGAATCAGGATCAAGCCCATCTGGCACAGAACTTCCATCACCCAATCTCCCAGAATGCCCAAAGCCAGCTCTGTAACTGGCATCACCTAAATTCCCATCCTTGCCCTGCTGAGACCCCAAACCTTCTCCATCATCCATGTCAATGTTAACTGCACCCAGCACACCCTCACCTCTGCCATCCACAGAATTCCATTCACCTGCCCCTCCTAATACAGGGTCTGTGCCATGGACAGTCCTTAATCCACTTTTGCCTCCTAAGCCTTTTAGTCCAAAGATACTGCCATCGTTTGCCACTGAGTCTCCATCTAGACCTGCTCTAGAAAACTGCCCAGACCCCATCTCTCCATTTATGTGGGTTTTGCGCAGGCCCTCTTTCCCCAGAAAGCTTTGGCTTCCATCATCAGGATCAATGGAGTGGCCTTGGCCCCTGCCTTGGCTGCTGCCTTGGGCTGTTCTGTGCCAGCCAGTTTTCCCCACACCAGAAGATGTGGCAAAGGAAGGATGATTTTCATCACCAGCTTGCTCTTGGCGCCGAAGCTTCCTTGCCCTTTCATTGTCTGCCATTGTTTCTTTCAGCCACTCAGATGTCTCCTTTTCAATCTTTTCTCCTTCATCCTGTCTCCTCTTTCCTTTGGCATCTGAAGTTGCATTGTTTGATGGGAGTGGTTTTACAATTTACAGAAAAAGAATGGGAATAAAATAACAGAAAATCAATAGATCATGCACTGCATCAACTACCAAAGAAAATGTGTTAGCACTTTTTGAATTTCATTTTAGGTCACACACACATGTAATACATTTAAATAAATTTAAAATAATTTCAAATAGTGAATTTTTCAATGTCACATTCAAACAATGAAATGTCACTTAAAGATAAATTATTTTTAGTTAAAATACATTGTCCTTTAGTGGAAACATGCTCATTATAAAAAAAAAAACAAATAAGACAACAATAACAGAAAAAGAAACCTCCAACAAGACAGGTCTGATTTAGAGGGGCTTAGAGTGTATCTGGGAATCATGAATTCCATCTGCCTTCTCCCTCCAGCTATGGAGGAGTTACAGAATATTCCACGCACAGAGGAGCCATCAGTTCCTGCCCTACATTTCACTGCTCCAGAGGCAGCTTGCACATCTGGGTAATGGGTGGTTTAGGGATGGCCAACCTGAGGACTAAAGCTTCCAGATCTGTGAATAATCTGCTTTGGATTAATCCCAAATTCAGGCTATTCTGAGAGCAGGTCATTCACTGCTTTGGTTTCCAGGCTGGATATAATTTATCAGAGCAGCTCACTGAAACCCATGGGCAGTTTCTCTGTTTCAGAAACCCACGCTGCTTTGGAAAGGCCTTTGTGAGAGAGACACCTGCTGCTGCTGCAGGAARATCCCAAAGGAAGCCAAAGTTAAAGGGAACCAAAGAAACCACCCTTCAGAAGCAAACAAACAAGAGCCAGGCGCCTGTGAATGTGCCTGCACTGAAAGGGGTGTTCCCACCTTCCTAGCTTCCTCTGAGCTCCTTCCAACATGTTTAACCTCTAAATGGGAAAGAAAAATAGTATCTAGCAAGAAGTATGGCATTGATAGTGTAGAACTGAGAGTATGAAAGGCTCCCTGAGCCCCYGCATGCTGCACTGGCGCAGCTTCCTCAAAAACACAGGGGGACATAAGGAGCATTTTTTGATAACTGATGGAGAATGTGCTACTTCATTGTAGCTGTAGAGCAAACAAGCCAATAGGATTAGTCAGGACTAATTAAAAGGGGAAAAGTTGGTCTGATTTGAAGAGGAAAGAAGGTCTAACCAGATCTTAATTTTTCCAAATAGAATTTAGAATCATAGAATCACAAAATTGTTTGGATGAGACATCTCATTCCAACACATGCTATGGCAGGGACACCTTCCACTATCCACATTGCTCCAAGCCCCGTTCAGCCTGGCCTTGGACACTGCCAGGGATCCAAGGGCAGCCACAGCTGCTCTGAGCATCCTGTGTCAGGGCCTCCCCACCCTCATAGCAAACAATTCCATCCCAATATGCCATCTAACTCTGCCCTTTGGCAGTGGGAAGCATTCCACCTTGTCCTGTCACTCCATCCCTTGTCCCCAGTCCCTCTCCAGCTCTCCTGGAGCCCCTTTAGGCACTGGAAGGGGCTCCAAGGTCTCCCTGGAGTTTCATCTTATCCAGGTTGAACACCTCCAGTTCTCTCAGGCATAATTTAGGGAACAGAGGCTCAGCAATTCATTTCCCAGCAGTGCAACATCTCCCTGGGCCATCAGGCAGTGAGAGGAATGCTTTTTGCCAACAAACCATGGGAACAACCCGCTGCAACCACTCACATTCCACGACGAGCCAGGCGCTGGAGGAGCCCTGTCCCGCGTCGAGCGTGTACAGGCCACTGTCCGAGGGCCCCACGTTCCTGACAATCAGCTTGTGGGTCAGGCCGTCTGGTGTCACAGACATCTGGTGCTTGTCACTGGCCTGCAGGGGGCGGCTTTTGTGCAGCCACAGGGACTCGTGGCAGGGCGTGCACAGCACACACTGGAACTCGGCATCTCCGGCCTCGGCACAGCGCACGTCGGAGAGCGGCTGCCGGAACCGCGCTGGAATGGCTGCAGGGGAAACCATGAGCTGTGGGAATGGAGCAGCTGRTTCTGTGCTCCAAGGAAAACTGTTATAACTGAGGGAGGAAAGAATAGGAAGTTGTGGTGCCTCTGAGCTTTGGGTTCATGAGGAAAAGGAAAAACTGAGATGTTCTTCTATGCCCAATTCCACAGAAAAGCTGAAAAGTAGATTTTTGTCTTTATTATCTTCTGAGACATTTGTACCACACAGCACTGATGTGCTGGCAGTTTGTAGTCACTGATGTGTTTCTGCAACACGATGCTTGCATTGAGCTGTTAWTTTTCAGAGCCTACAGAAGTAAACTGTTATATGGGGCCAATTAAAGGGAACGCTCACTGTCACCCACAGCCAGACTGGTCTGGGTGCAAAAGTAGCATCCAAAGCACATAATCACCCTCCTGCTCTTTYTACCTGTGCCAGACAAGTGAAGACACAAAACCAGTTCTCTGTAGTGGTCAGGAGTTACTGTTGAGCTTTGCACCTGTTCCTAGATACAATTTTCCAGCAAAAAAAAATAAATTGCCACAGTTGCACGTCACATCCATCAAACTGAACTCCTTACCTTGAGGATCCAGTTCAGTTGAGAAAATAGGGACATCCTCCACCCTGACCTGGTACACGCCTGCATCCTCTGGCTGCACATCATTGATAGTGAAGTAGTACCTTCTCCCCACTCTCCTCAGGCAGTGCTTCCTGTACTCATCCCCTGTCCCATACCGGAGCCGCTC